TATATATATTAGGGTTAGGGTTAGGGTTGGGTTAGGCTTAAATAGGGGCATGCCTTTTGACCTCAGGGCATGCCCATGGGCATGCCCCATGCCCCCGTGCCCTAAACCCTACTGGCTATCCTGAATAAATTAAAACAAATAAGAGCTATGGCAGGATGGTAAATACTACATACTTGGATAGTTGGATTATCATTAATAAAATAGTAAGACAGTAATTATTTGAAACTTAATGACCCAAGTCATAGATAATAAGTTATATAAATTATACCAATTTAAAAGTAAAGTCAAATGAATAACCTTCTTAGTGTTACGGATAGAATTATTAGTTAATCGTTATTATAACGTTATATTGTTGGTTAGTGTGTCTTTAAATTGGTTGAATTCATAAATACTATAGCACAAACATTAGGTAATTAAGTATGCATTAGTTAACAGGAATAACCGTCAATGGAATCCCTTAGCTGGTGTGCAGTTCATAAAAATTATTTCTGGATTGCTCTACCGTCAATGTTATAGATATACTCTTTCACCTGTTGGATTAGTTGTGCTTCATCCTGTTGCATTAGTGAACTGAATGTAACACAGCGCACGTGCAGATATAGGTTGTTCTCAAGCAGTTCCCTCAATATAATTTGCAAGTGATCGAGATGCTGTTCAATCATTTCGATTAATAGAAAATTAATTGAAGTGATCCCTGTAACAATTTTGCCGAAAATTCATTGTGCGAAATGCAGATTTTAAATTTCAGCCAATTGGAGTAACTCTATGAAAAAAAAAGACGGTTGTTAGCTCCAGGTTTTTTTTGATCGAAGTGATTAAACACGATTTATTTTTTCAGCTAATCGGATTACTTTATCAATCATAGAGGGAGGTACTTGAGAACCACCATAGTGTAGCAGTGATTACGGGAATAAATATTGACCAATCAGATTCATTTTATTCCGGACGGTATGTTGGGCCGGGCTGGGCCGGGTATTTCAAAATCCAGATCCAGCCCATATTTAATTGGATAGATCCAAGCCCAGCCCATGACCACATGGTACAATCCATGGATCCAAATTGCACAAACTGTAAACAGCTTAGTTTTAAATTAAGTTTGAATTCGTAATTTTGACATCATATGATCAGGAAAACGATGATGACATCTATAATTTTGGCCAATCAGATTAACTATGGACTATCCATGGGGTTTTGGATCTGGATTCAATTATCCATGGTCAAAAATTTTGGACTAAGCCTGCCCATATTGGACCAGTGTTACGCAACAAAGTTTCAAAATTAAACTTTCGCTTGTGTAACATATATACTTTGTATTATAACCATTATACTTTTACGTACGTATATACTTTTGCATGTAACAATTTAATAGTTTATGCGAAGTATAAAGCATACCTTAATTAGTCTTTAAATAGTCTATAGCTTATTTTAGAGTCTATTCACAGATATATATAGAACGTTATGTATTTTAGATCTTTGGATCTTTTAGTTAGTCTTTTAGTAAGTCTTTGGTATTTGAGTTGGATTTTAGTGCGTTGGAAATGTACTAAGTTGGTTAGTTGGATAAAGATATTAGTTACTTTAGTGTCTAGGACACAATAAGAGATATTGGTTTAGTACTTTGGATACTTGGAAAGAGACAATAAATACTTGCGTTCTTTCCTTTAATGTTGACGTTGTTACAGTCTGGGGAGAGACTTTCAATCTTTGTTGCCGAATTTAGCTTAGACTGTAAGCATGCAAGTATGATCTTACAGCTAATTTCATGCGTCAAGTATTTTTATGTACTGTGGAGTTTTTTGATTAATAATTTATATTTTGTGGTTGGTTATGGTGATTTTAGGTTCTATGGTTGTTGGTTATGCAGATATTAGTATGGATTTGGGTTTATACTGTTATGCGTAAGGTATGTAATATGATAATTAAGGATTGCTTATTATGGTTGCAAATAGTTTTTATTTACTTTTATTTACATAAAAGAAATTATTTACAAGGTTATAGGATCGTACCATTATCTTCTTCCTTCGTCCAAAATCCTTTTCTTATATATTCTTTTACTCTTTTCATTCCCACACTTTCCATAGCAAAGCAAATGAAGTAATTTCATTTGAAATTACAGACTATGAAGCAACAACTATGAGATTTCAATAAAAATGAAGTAACAGCTACGAAAACTTAGGAAAAATAAAGTAACGGTTACAAGATCTTAAGAAAAATGATGTAACAGCACATAAATATGAGTAATTCAATGCTGGGCTGTTCAATCAATGAATGTAGTCATAAAAATATAACTATATTACAGTGGGAAAATGAGGTAATACATTCATCAATCATGGGTGCAGAAATTTTTATGTAACACCGTCCCTGAGTTAAATTAATAATAATAAAACCAAATCTCTCTTACTGGACGTCACATCAGTCCAAGGATGCTTCATAGATAATCCAGCCCATGCAAAACCCTAATGGTATGATAGACATTAAAATTTTAATAGTATAGACTAGCTCTCAGACCTGGGTATTGCTTCGGTATGCAGTCTTAATTTTTATTAGTTTTAAAGTTTTGTAAATTCAAGTGAACCTAACTTGAGTTCACTTGGACCTGGGTTGAGTTCACTTGCACTCAGGTTGGGTTTAAGTAAATCTATCTTAAATTTACTTTGACCTGCATTGGGTTCAAGTGGATCTAATTTGGGTTCATTTGGATTATGTTAGGTTCAAGTGAACCTGATTTGAACCTAGTTGGGTTCTAGTAGACCTGATTTGGGTTCATTTTGACTCATGTTGATTATGTGAGTTCAAATGAATCTGATTTGGGTTCAAATGAACCCAAATTTGGTTCACTTAAACCTGACTTGGGTTCAAATGAACCTGGATTAGATTCACTTGAACCCAACTTGGGTCAAATGAACCTGGATTGGGTTTACTTTAACCTAAATTAGGTTCAATTAAATCTGACTTGAGTTCAAATGAACCTAGTTGGGTTTACTTAAACCTGACTTGGGTTTAAGGATAGCTCTGAAAGTGAGTACTTTTGGTACTTACTAAAATCAAAAGTCTACCAAAAGTACTTTTGAATAGGATCTGGTTTATCAAAATGTTTAAAACTCAAAAGTCCTATCAAAACTCAAAGTCTTATCAAACTCAAAAGTCTTACCAAAACTTGAAAGTCCTACTAAAATTCAAAAGTCTTATCAAAACTCAAAACTTTTACCAAAACTCAAAACTATTACTAAAACTTTAACCAAAACTCAAAAGTTTTACCAAAACTCAAAACTTATACTAAAACTCAAAAGTCTTACCAAAACTCAAAACTTTTACCAAAACTTGAAAGTCTTACCAAAACTCAAAAGTTCTACTGAAACTCAAAAGTCTCACTGAAAGTCAAACCCTATATTGGCTCTAGTAAAGTCATTTTCAAATATATTGCATTAATAAAGTCTAATCAGATCTTGAAATATAACAATTTTAAAAAATTTACATAATCACTCCACTTGAAATCGACCAATAGGATCGTAGGTAAGAATTCATAGAATTTATTTGCTGATTTTAAGTGGTGCGATCACGTGGTTTTTTATAATAAAAATCTGTATCAAGATAGATTGGCCTTTGTCGAAGAATATATTACGTGATATGTTTAAAAAATGAGTTTTGATTTTAGTAAGAGTTTTGACTTTCAGTAAAAGTTTCGAGTTTTGGTAAAACTTTTGAGTTTCTATAAGACTTTTGAGTTTCTAAAAGACTTTTGAGTTTTAGTAGGACTTTTGAGTTTTAATAAAACTTTCAAGTTTTGGTAGAACTTTTAAGTTTTGGTAAAACTTTAGAGTTTTGATAAGACTTTTGAGTTTTAATAAGACTTTCAATATGATTTTTGATTTCGATATAACTTTCGGCATAGCAAAATACTTTTGGAGCCATCTTTACTTAGGTTTAAATGAATCCGAATTGGGTTCACTTGAACCTAACTTGGGTTTAAATGAACTATTTATTTAGATTTGTTTTTTTTTTTTTTCGCATTTTTTTTAATTTTTTTAATTTTTTTATTAATTTATTTTTTTTTTTGTTAATTTATTTTTTTTATTTTAT